TAGATGTGTATAAGAGAATGGTGTAGCATAGCTCTCAACGAATGCTGTCCTATAGATAAATAAATAAATACATACATTGTGCAAGAAAATGTCTTCGACGGGATTCGAACCTGCGACCTCTCGCTGTCAAGGCGAGCGTCATAGCCATTTAATCACAGAGGCTTCGTGGTTGGACAGATTCTAATAACCGTCAGGTACACTCTGTTACACAATGGGCGTACGGCTAGAAATAAATAGTAACATATAATGAATCAAGATAGCCGTTAACACTGTTAAATTATATATAAATCATCAAAGAAAGGTAAATACCGTACATTGTTCGAATAAAGGACAATGGTACATCGTGTAGCATTGCTCTCAACGAATGCTGTCCTATAACAATGTTAAACGGCTATCTTGATCTATATATATATATATATATATATATATATATATATATATATTGTATAAGAGACATGCTTACATTACTCTGTGCTATTATTTTTCTAAATTACACCTTATTAGTGGATGTACAGCCAAAATATACAATGCACTTTTTAATTTAAAACACTTATTATGATAGAGAATATAAAATTTGAAAGCAAATTTGAATTATTTGTTTCAGGTACATGCAATATAACAACAAGATTGAACAGATGAAGAAACTGGAATGTTCATTAACATCAGAGCGAGAAAACGATGTATTTGTAAACTAAATTGTAGAATGATATTCAGAAAATTTCTTCTTATAGGCCTAATATGAATGCGTCTTTTCATGTTGGCCAAAGTTCCACAGCATTCTTAAATTCAAAGGAAAGTTGGATCCCCATATTTATTTATATTATTATTTTGTATTTATTTCGTAGCCGACAACAATTGTTCCATTTTATTTATTTCATGTCTTTTTGATTATGTTATGTTGGTTATACTACTAGACTAGCACCCGCAATGTTTTCGAATGGGTAACTCTTACAGCAGCTGTTAAGTTGCAGAGACCCAGTCATCTCACTCTCTAAAAGTGCTGTGGCAGTAGCATCTAAACTGTGTGGATGATAAATAATAAGAAACCATTTATGAAGTATATCAATTCAATGTAATAGGCCTCGTTATAGACTCATTCATACTATGTTCCTTCAGGAAAAGTTCTTCCAGAACGACATACACATGTAAACGTGTGTGTTTCAGGACAAGCTTTTTTCTGGCTATTGAATAACACGCTCTGATTGGTCAGATGTCTGATTGACTGACATTCTACTGACCCTCTGATTTAAGCCCAGGACCCAGGGCAGTCTGCTTATAGCACTATGAAACCAAAACCACGAATTTATAGCAGAAAGTTTAATGATTTGTAGGAAAATAATCATATACAAAACGAATAATTATTGATTATTATAATGGTTACAAAAATATTGATTATACAGTATCAACATAGCTCGGTTTCAATACACATCCAGTTACGGCCGTGACACATTCAATGTGGTAAAAGAGAAATTTAATTGCTAAATATTTAAAGTGGTTTAGTTTCATATTTTGCCCATTTGAGAGATTCATATGGTATTGTAGGTCTATGGGGAATGGTCAGTTGCAGTCACGTGATGTTTCATATATAATCATGTACACTCCACACACGCACGCTAGTAAGCTTGATTATAAGAAAGTGCATATAAAAATAACATAGAGACATAGAACTAATGGAACAAACAGTAACAATAATGAGATATATTATTTTTATTGGTTGCCTTCCTTCAGTTTTCGTGACATGCTCTTTTCTCATATCGGCCCTAAACCGCTCCTGCTATTTTTTCTCCAAAATAATGACATCACTTTACTGCACTCAGTTTATATTTCATTTGAATTGCTGTATACTTGCTTGAAGTACAGTAGTTAAATAAAATTACAAAGGAATAAAACACATATGATCCAGAAATCAAATCCATTACCTTAGCCTTTAAAAAAAAATTGAGGATGTTTACATTCTAAGTTGTGGTGGAGTTATAAGCTAACTAGACCTAGCTGCGGAAAAAAACTGCAGTACATAAGAAAACCGGATCGATATCACTTGTTTTGTTTAAAATATACTTATAATAAACAATACAATGGACCTAGATTTTAGAATAATTTTTCTTGATGTTTATCGCACAATTTATTTGTATTCCATCGTAAGTTATTATTATTATTATTATTATTATTATTATTATTATTATTATTATTATTAGTTCTTATGCATGTAATGCAATAGGAACTATTGTAATCACTCTTGCTATTTCCTATGTTTTTTATTGTGTGTAGTGTGTATGTGTGTGTGTAGACATTTATGCAAATGCGCATGCGTCAAAGAAAAGTTTTCCGACATTTTGTTTTACATCGCGATGCGAAGATCGATGTAAAGTTTCTGCAGAGTTCAGTCAGGGCTTACGCTAACCGACCGGAATGTCGGCATGGATGAAACTATTTTGGTTTTACGGCAAAAAAATCATCTGCTGTAGGCATAGGTATTTTGAAGAAGGCCTAAAATAAAACTAAAATGTTTTAATACTTGCTGAAATACATCGCTTCTTCATTTAGATCTCCATTTTTCACTTAGTCCACGCGACGTTTTTTTTTCTGTTGTATACGTA